GATGGATGGATGGATGGATGGATGGATGGATGGATGGATGGATGGATGAAGTTACTTTTATCCCGTCATATCTCATCATGTTTTAAGTTTGCACTCCATATCTAAAAGTATTAATGTGCTACTGCTTTATTTTCAGGTATTTTATTTCTCCAAAACGTTATTATTTACCATTTCTGTTTTCATGAGCAACAAAATAAATATCAAAAAATTATCCACAGGGATTTAATGACTTATTCGTGTGCTTCTTCTTATTATAAAATTCATATTGAAGCATTTAAATCTAAATCAAARTGAARTGAATTTAATTTAGAGGTTGGTAACAATTCATCCAATCCTTATGTCTTGGTTTGCAGGAGATGTGTAAACACTACACAACTGCATGTTTCAGCTCAGTAGAGCAGCAAATATAGTTATTATTTGTTCATTTTAAAGTTCGGTCATGAGCCATGGTTTATTCCTTTTGCTGTTGTGTTTTTATTTTTGTCGTGTTTCTTTGTTCTTTTATTTTTTAAGATTCATTATGAAAAAAAAGATTTAGTATGTTTAGTTTGTTTCTCAGCATGTTAGTGTGTTATGAGTCATTAGTGAGTCGTTTTGTGTCATGTTCATTAGTCTGAGCTTCCTCCACCTGTAATTTCTCCTCTTCACCACTGAAACTCTTCTTCATCTTCTTATCTTTGGTTTGTTTGGCCTTTAATGCTGGTTTTTACCTTCTCTTTTCACGTCTGTGTTTTGTTGCTAATATGACTCCATAAAATGCATTTGTTTTCTGTTCCACAGTATATAAAGTTAAAATAAGWGATTTATTTTGAAAGGTAATTTCTGTGCTTCTCAGCCGACTTATTCACAAGTTTGAAACATTTTTTCACCTTTTCTTTTATAAATTAAGTCAAGATTTCCAACAGGCTCTTAAACCAGCATTAAAACACAATAAACTACATACTGATATTTGTTGTTTTATTGTAAAGAATAGTGCAGTACTTTACRTATAGTATATACTTTTATCAGTCGTGCTCATATTTATTCGATCATTTTAAAAAGTTTTATAGTAAATTATATATAGTATCTTTTTGCCTTTCTGTGTCCTAATTTAAAACTGTTCGTTCTGTCTCTGGTGTAAATCCAGATTTATCATACAACCTTATTTACTTCCTCTTCTCTCCCTCCTGTTTTCCCAGCAGTTGAACCCGTTGAACRGCCTCACCACCACAGCCCTTCTCCACACTCACTTCCTGTTTAGTGGAACAATTACAGGAGGGTTTCTAAAGCCCCCCAGTTCTCTGAGGCCTTCTTCTATTATAACTCTGATCTGCTGGAAAGACCCTGATAAAACMGAGTTTATTAGAGCTGTGAGGCAGAGCGTGCTGATTTAGAGCAAGAAGAGACAAACAGAAAGTTATGACAGAGAAACAGACATGAAGGGTTCTGCAGGACAGACTGTGGCTGCTGACACCGTTACAGGATCTTTATTGTGTTAGACTGATTGTTTGTCTAGTAAGATATATCTGGATTTATTRATGAGACAACAAATAAAAGATTTATTTTGTAACTTACATTCTGGGTATTTTAAATCTATGTTGTGATGCAACAACACAGCTGGACCTCCTTGAATAACTCTTAATGTTTCACAATAAATGTTCCTGTCAGAAAACTAGTTCAAAATAAAATGTTCTAAAAATAACAAACTAAAATGCTTAAAACTATATTGTGAATAATTTACAGTGGTACTAAATAAAGTTAAGATGATGCAAAAGTTGTCTTTTCTTTTTTATTTGCATCAAAGGTACATTTATGCAAACATTGTTTTCATTTTAAATAAGTTTGATTAAATTTTACATTTTGAAAGAATTTAAGATTGTATTTTAGGTCAGCAGTTCTGTTTTTTTTTTTTTTTGATTTTGCAAATAATTTCTCAAAAAAAGAAACGATTTAGCTTTTTATTCTACCAATTCAATGTAACAGGAAGTTTGTAATAAAGTTTTAATTCACATTAAAATGTGAAATAATGTGTTATAAAAGCTTTGCTCAGACCTCTGCCGTTCTTCCTCTGCAGGCAGAACGACGGGCGTACAGGGAGGCGGAGATAAACATGATGGACGACCTATCAGAGGCTGACTTTCAGAAAGAGGAGGAGCCAGCCAGCCCGGCCCCGCCCCCCTTACAGCAACACACAGACCCCGCCTCTCCAACGGTTGCTGTGACGCCAGAGCCGGTCGCCAGAGGAGACCAGGCCATGTCCAGTGAGATGGAGTACCAGGTGAGATGTTTTTAACACAACTCTAAATAAGTTACTAAAATCTCAAAACAACCTCTTAAGACTTGTGTCTGAAAATGAGCTTAAAGGTACATTATACCTTACAGTTTACATTATACATACAAAGGTACAACATTCATTCACAGCAGTCTTGTCCTTTTACCAGTAAACTAATTAAGATATGCAGTTCATTCATTTTGACTTGCTCAATTAATTCAGTTCAATTCAGTTTATTCATACAGCTCCAAGTCCCAACATCCGTTGTCTCAGGACACTGTAGATAAAAAGAACAATGTAAAGAAGAAAGCAGCAGATTGTGTTGAATCACTTCATCACAGTCTCCCATCCTGAGCAAACGGTGGAGAGGAAAAACTCCCTGCTAATCAGGAAGAAACCTCCAGCAGAACCAGGCTCAGGACAGGAGACCATCTGCCTCTACCGGCTGCTTGGAGGACAGGAAAGAGACACAGACAAACACAGAAGAACTGGTCCAGGACTGGTCCAGGACTGGAGCAGGTGCACCTTCTTCTGGAAGAGACAAAGAAAAAACATGATAGAAATAATAAGAATAAACATGTAGAGAAGAGAGACTAAAGACAACAGCAGAGTGAGGAGATGTGCTCAGTTTGTGCTCCAGCAGTCTACGTTCACACTGAACACGTTTTGAGCAGCAAARGGTGCCCAACACCTCCAGTTGGACGCACTAGGTTCAGACCAGGACACAGACTGGAGGCGCCTCTGAAGAGGGAAGAGCATCTTGGTTTTTTTCTAATCTGTCTTCAGCAGGTGAAATAAAGATAAAATAAAGAAAATGGCTTTGCTTTGTTTACTAAAGAGCAAGTGAACACCACCAAATATTTAATTCACCAGATAATTTAGAGGCGSTTTGTTCGGTTAGTTTKACTCCAGGAGCTGCGAGCTGACAGACTGTTTTTTGTTCTGAGRCCAGTTTAACACCGCGGTCAGTTTAACGAGCTGCTGACCCACATCGGTGCTGATATCTCCTGTCAGAACATCAACTGCAGACGGTCCATTTCAGCTAAACATCTGCTGTCTGTCTGTTTGTGGGCAACATTCTGGAAACCATCACYTGGAAAAATGAGTCTCTCTGATTGGTTGTCAAGACGCGTCGAACGGCGAAAYATRAGATTTTTGAACTTGAGCGTCGACTGCTTTCGCCGCACTGCGTGCACGGAAAACGCTACGGCTACCTTCTGCATTCCTTGCACGCCGCYCTAAACAGACTTGACGCGCTGCAAGACCCCTGGTGGTGCGTCCACCATAGGTTTTGTATGTAAACTGACTGGTCCTGCAGCTAAAAACACTTTCAGTGTGATCGTAGCATTAGCCTATAGCAGCAGAAGTGAAGAATAATTCAGGAAACCTAAGRCTAACTATAGTAGTTATTAAAAAGGAAAGTCTTCAGTCTAGCTTTAGAAGTAGACATGGTGTCATCAGCCTCARGGACAGAAACTGGAAGTGGAGAGAAGCTAAAACTGGAGAAATATGATCTCTCCTTCCAACTCTCATTAAAACTCTAGCAGCAGCATTTTGGATTAACTGAAGACTTCTTAAAGAGGTTTTTGGATGTCCAGATAATAAAGAGTTACAGTAATCCAGTCTAGACCTGATAAATGCATGAATCAGTTTTTCTGCATCATTTTTGGACAAAATGGGCCTCATGCAAGAACCGTTGGTTCACAGATTTGTTCTTCAGTTGTGCGTACGAGTGATTTAGGAGAATTTGTGACATTCACCAATGTTTTCATATTCTAAGATTTTTTTCAGATA